TCCCATCGGTTTGCAATCCCCTTACACAAGCTTGTAATTACTCTCATATACATTGTGCTCGTGTAATTGCTCTTGCAATTTGTTAGCTTCTGTAGCTCACTAGTTATCTTCGTGCTTGTGTAGCATAGAAGTAGCTCCCTTGCGTGGCTAATTTGGTTTGTGCAACCTTGTTAGTCACATTGCTTAGTTTGTGTAGCTAAGTTTTTACGCTCTCTAATTTGGCATTGGTTGCCTTGTTATCGAGCATTGCTAGTGAGCTTAGGTGGCTTTGTGCTTTTGCTTACTATCATGTGTTGGAGCTCCCTTGTTGCTTGAAGTACTAGTGGCATAGGTTTATGTGACCTTGCTCCTAGAATTGGATAGGTGAGGTCTAGCTAGCTTGGCACCTTAGTTGCTTAATTAGGATCTTTGCAAGGTGCTAGAGAACATAGATAGAGGGGTGTAGTATTGGCTAGACCGATTGTTTTAATTCCGTATTTTGTTTCGGTTAGCCAGGGCGATTAAATTTAGAACGGACTATTCGCCCCCCCCTCTAGTCCGCCATCTCGACCCTACAACCACCACCGTGTATCTCAAGAAAGTGGAGAGTCAGTTTATTGACTCTTCAAAGGCTTATGCAAGCACCATGATCAAGAAGTTATTCAATGAGAAATACTCTGGTGGAGGGATAAGAGAGCACATATTAAAGATGAGCAACACGGCATCCAAGCTCAAGCCAATGGATTTGGGGGCTCAAAGATGAGTTCCTGATTCATTTGGTTTTTGCTTCTTTGCCTAAAGAGTATAAAACTTTTGTTGTTAATTACAACATGCAGCCCAATAAATGGAACATTGAGAAGCTCATTTCCATGTGTATGCAAGAAGAGGAGAGGCTTAAAAGCTCACATGGTGACTCTGCTAACCATTTGAAGGACTATAAAAAGAACTTTAACAAGAATGCCAAACCTCAAGGGAAAGCCCCTCAGAATGATCACCATCAGAAGAAAAACAATGTCCAAGTTGATAAGGATCAATGCAAATGGTGTAAGAAGCATGGACAATACCAGAAGGACTGTCCAGATTTCTTAAAGAGCCTTTTGAAGAGAGGTCAGGACATTATTACATTCATAGATGAGTTCTTGTATTTAAGTTATTCAAAATCTACTTGGTGGATTGACTCAGGTGCAACTATTCATGTTGCAAATTCATTACAGGGATTCCATACGAGGAGGACCCTGCAAAGAGGAGAAAGAAGAATTAAAGTAGCAAATGGAGTTGAAGCTAAAGTTGAAGCCATTGGAGATCTCTCTCTAGAATTAGATGATGGTTTTGTACTTCAGCTTTTAGATGTCCTTTATGTACCCTCTTTACGTAGAAATTTGATAAGTGTTTCACGCCTAGATGATGATGGATATGATTGCCATTTTGGTAATGGCAAATGTCAGATTGTGTTTAATAATAAGTATGTTGGTCTTGCCTTTCAACAAGACAAGCTTTATTTGTTATCACTTTCTGAGAATATGAATGTTATGAGCACTGAGAATGAGAATGCCTCCTCGTCTATGAATGCAAGAAATAAGCGGAAGAGAGTTCATGATGTATCATCAAAATTATGGCACTGTCGTTTAGGCCATATTTCGAGGGGGAGAATAGAGCGATTGATTAAGAAATCAATTCTTCCGCCATTAGAATTTTTAGATTTAGAACAATGCATTGATTGCATAAAAGGAAAGTATATTACGAAAATAAAGAAAGATGCCAAACGAAGCGTAGGAATTTTAGAAATAATTCACACAGATATCTGTGGTCCTTTTCCTATGAAGAGTGTGGATGGTTATGATTCATTTATAACATTAACAGATGATTATTCTTGTTATGGCTATATTTATCCATTTAAGGAAAGATCAGAAGCATTGGATAAATTTAAAATATTTAAGGCTAAAGTAGAAAATCAGCACAATTTAAGGATTAAGATTGTAAGATCCGACCGTGGGGGGAGTACCACGGTCGACACACCCCATATGGTCAAGTTCCTGGACCTTTTGCAAGGTTCTTACAGAAAAATGGCATAATTGCCGAGTACTCTACACCGGGCGAGGCTCAACAGAATGGAGTAGCTGAAAGACGCAACCGTACCTTAATGGATATGGTGAGAAGTATGATAAGTTACTCTACTCTACCGATAAGTTTATGGATGGAGGCGCTAAAAACCGCTATTCATATTCTCAATCAAGTGCCAAGCAAGTCGGTGCCCAAAACACCATATGAGTTGTGGACAGGAAAGGAACCCTCACTTAACCATTTACGTGTGTGGGGCTGTCCAGCTAAGGCTAAAGTCTTTAACCAAACATAGGGAAGCTAGACTCCAAGACAGTCAGTTGCCATTTCATTGGCTATCCAGAAAAGTCAAAAGGTTATCGCTTCTATTATCCTGACAGACATACGAAGTTTGTAGAAATGAGACACGCTGTGTTCTTGGAGGATGATATGGTCAGGGGGAGCATGGTAGTGCAAGAAATTAACCTAGAGGAGAAGAGGGTACATGTGCCTACTCCGATGGTTCAGGAGTCATTCTTCACGCTACCTGTTGTTGCTGCACTAACAGTGCAAGACACTATAGTAACATCACCTGTTGTTAGTTCTCCCATGGCGACAATGAATGAACATGAGGAACCTGTCCTTCAGGATCCTGTAGAACCCGTTGTCACATATGAGGAAGAGCAACAACAGCCTTATATAGAACAAGCTCAATTAACGAGGCCCTAGAAGGTCTCAAAGAGTTAGGAAACCAGTCATTCCTGATGATTACGAAGTCTGAATGTGAACAATTTCAAATGGAGGGTGATCCCACCTTATTTGAAGAAGTAATGAGAAGCGCTCACTCATCAAAGTGGCTTGAAGCCATGCAAGATGAAATGAGATCAATGAATACCAACGGTGTTTGGGACTTAGAAACAATTCCTAAAGGAGCTAAGACAGTAGGCTGTAAATGGGTTTACAAAACTAAATATGACTCCAAAAGGAATGTAGAAAGATTTAAAGCTCGACTTGTGGCGAAAGGCTTCATGCAAAGAGAAGGCATAGATTACAATGAGATATTTTTTCCAGTCTCATGTAAGGATTTTTTTAGAATTATAATGGCGCTTGTAGCACATTATGATTTAGAATTACATCAGATGGATGTAAAGACGGTGTTCCTAAATGGGGATTTGAAGGAAAATGTTTACAGGGCACAACCAAAAGGTTTTGTTGCGGAAGAAAAAGAACATATGGGATGCCGCCCAAAGAAATCCATTTACGGATTAAAACAAGCATCAAGACAGTGGTATTTAAAGCTTGATAGTACAATAAGAAAGTTTGGGTTTCAAGAAAATATAGAGGACAATTGCGTTTATGCAAAGTTCAAGAATGGGAAATATATTTTCCTAATCTTGTATGTGGATGACATCTTACTCGCTAGTAGTAATGTTAATCTACTACTAGAAACGAAAAAGTTTTGTCCTCAAATTTTGATACGAAGGATCTTGGTGAAGCTTCGTTCGTTCTAGAAATAGAGATTCACCGAGATAGAAGAAAGGGTGTTTTAGGATTATCACAAAAGGTATATTTAAAAAGGTTCTAAAGAAATACAATATGCAAAATTGTAAGCCTTCACCTATTCCCATAGTCAAGGGCGATAGATTTAGGGAATTTCAATTTCCTAAGAACCAATATGAGATCGATAAAATGAAAGCGGTTCCATATGCTTCAGCTATCGGAAGTTTACAATATAGTCAAGTGTGTACACGTCCTGACTTAGCGTTAGTTACCGGGTTACTTGGCAGATATCAGAGTAATCTAGGAATAGAACACTAGAGACTGGTAAAGAGAGTTTTGCATTACTTGCAAGGCACAAAAGGCTTCATGCTAACGTACAGAAGATCTGATTCCCTACACATAGAGGGGTATTCAGATTTAAATTATGCGGGAGATGATAGAGAGTCCACGTCAGGATATATATTTACTCTTGTAGGAGGAGCTATATCGTGGAAAAGCTCTAAGAAAACCGTCACTACATCGTCTACGATGTATGCCGAATTTGTAGCGTGTTATGAGGCCACAGGGCAAGTGAATTGGCTGAAGAAGTTTATGCCCAAGTTGAAAGTGGTAGACGACATATATAAGCCACTCAAGTTATACTACGATAATAATCCAGCAATATGTTATGCTCACAACAATAAGTCAAGTGGTGCTGCCAAACACATTGACATAAAGTATTATGTTATGAAAGATAAAGTTCGGGATCATATAATTAGTTTTGAGCATATAAGTACAGAAAAGATGCTCGTGGATTCGTTTACAAAAGGTTTATCACCCAACGTATTCAGAGAACATTTAGCTGACATGGGTTTAAGGGAAAGCCTATGGTTCCTAGACAATAAGGGCCTAGTTCAGAATCTGTTTCAAAACAGAGAGGTGCATTGTAGCTGTTAATCTAATGGCACTAACCATGATGATGAGACACGCTTTATGCACTGATCTGTGATGGAATGGGAAAAAGATAATGTAAGTTAAGTTTAAGTAATAAGATGAGATTAAGAGGGAGATTGTTACTGTTGATCTCTCCGGCTCGGCCCAACGACTGAGTTGGGTCTTGATCTCGTGTCCTGATCGGTGGCGCCTAACCCTACATGGTTGGTGAGCCCCGTCGCACTGCGCTATAAAGAGAGGTGGAGGCCGGCGGCTCTCTGTACGAGGTTCACCGTGAGTTGCCACACCCACTGACAAACCCAATCCTATCTAGAGAGGGGTGCAACCAGCGACAAGAAGCTCCACTGCCGTCTTCACCGTCGCCTCTGCACCACCACTACACTGCGACCGACCTCAACGCCGTGACCGCGACTCCACTGACCCGGACCGCATCACCTTCACCATGGCTACGTCGAGCTCTTCCTCCAAGCCCGCGGATGGTCGATGACATCTCATCTCCCTTCCTCTCTCTCGAGACCATGTTTCATGAAGTTTTCCTCTCTCTCGAGACCATGTTTCATGAAGTTTTTATCCCGTATGGAAAGTTTTCCCCGCTAGATCTATATGTCCAGGTCATCCACTATGTCTATCACCTCGACGTGCTCGGCAAGCCGCTGCACCGCTAGTTGGCGGCGCTCGCCGCCGCACACGGCGCCGGGGGCCAGCTGGTGCCGCTCCTGTCCCTGCGCCTTGGCACGTGGCGCGCGCTGCTGGTGCCGTCGCACGCCGCGGCGGAGGAGTGCTTCACGGCGCACGATGCCGCGCTGGTGGGCAGGCCGCGGCTGCTGGCCGGGGACAGGCTCGGGAACGGGTACACCGTGGTCAGCTGGGCGTCCCACGGCGACCACTGGCGCGCCGTCCGCCGGTTCCTCGCCGTGGAGCTCTTCTCGGCGTCCCGCCTCGCCGCGCGCGCGGCCGACCGACGCGCCGAGGTCGCCGCGCTCGTCGAGAGCCTGCTGCTCCGTGACGCCGCCGCCGCTGGACCAGACGCGTCCCGCGCCGCGGTGACGCTCCGGCCCAGGCTCTTCGAGCTGGTGCTCAACGTGATGCTGCGCTCTCTCACCGGCGCTCCTGGGCACGGCGACGACGTGCGCAGGATCGAGTGGATCATCGAGGAGACCTTCGCGGTGAGCGGCGCCCCCAGCGTCGGGGACTTCTACCCGTCGCTGCGGTGGATCGACTGTCTGCGCGGCGTCGATGCGGCTCTGATCCGTCTCCAGGCGAGACGCGACGCGCTCGTCGCCGGCCTCGTGCGCGACAAACGCCAAAATCGCAGAGCCGGTGGCCGGCACACGGAGAAGAACGGCGCCATTGACGAACTCCTGTCGCTGCAAGAAATTGATCCCGAGTACTACACTGAAACTGTCATCAAAGGCATTGTCTTGGTGAGTAATCTCTCCTGTGAATCAGTCTTTGTGGCACCACCATGGTGAATCGGTGACATGGTTGCAATCTCCGTGATGATGCATCTATCTATACGGATACTGCTCAGTGCCAACACGGACACATCGGCACTGACCACTGAGTGGGCAATGGCGCTGCTGCTGACGCATCCAGAAGCAATGCAGAAAGTGACAGCTGAACTGCACACCAACGTCGGCACATCCCGGCTGGTGGAGGAGTCCGACATCACGAACCTCCCATATCTGCAATGTGTGGTCAAGGAGACCCTCCGGCTCTGTCCTGTCGGCCCAGTCATCCCAGCGCACGAGGCCATGGAGGACTGCACCGTTGGTGGGTTTCATGTCCGGCGCGGCACCATGATCCTCGTGAACGCTTGGGCGATCCATCGGGACCCCAAGTTATGGGAGGCGCCGGAAGAGTTCAGGCCGGAGCGGTTCATGGACGCTGGCATGGTGACCACGGTCACCGCCCCCTTGCTGCCATTTGGGCTTGGACGGAGACGCTGCCCAGGGGAGGGGCTGGCAATGCGTCTTGTTAGCTTGACACTGGCGGCGCTCGTCCAATGCTTTGAGTGGGATGTCGGTGAATGTGGTGCTCCTGACATGGCTGAAGGAGTTGGCCTGTCTATGCCTATGGCCAAGCCGTTGGCAGCAATCTGTCGGCCCTGGGAGTTTGTCAATAACATGCTATCTGGATCAACATGAATAACAGAACATTGGTTTCTGAAGAATAAGCAGAATTATGCAACACTTAAGCTTTTCAGTTACCTATGATTGGAAGTAAGAATCTTGCAGCCAGATGTGAATGATATATCAATGTTGTAGCTTATTCCAGTCTCCACTATGCATTTGTTGATGAAGTGAAACAGAAGAAGATAAAATGCCAGTTGCAATTAGCAATCTGATGATAAATACCAAAGTCTTCAAAATTACAAGCAATGATGTATGCCCACTGAAACTGATTTCAGATCTTAAACCAGCAGTGCCCTCCGATCCAGATATTGAACCATTTGGGAATGCCTCTGAATTTCTTCTGATGGTTCAAATGATTCAGAGACTATGCATCTGATGGTTAACTTGACCCTTCTTACTTTCTAAGTTCTGACAATTAAGATTAGCTGTCTGACTCAGATTTCAGAGACAATCTTATATCTAACATAGAAGATCGAAACATGAGCAATTTGGTAGATTTGGATTTGGATTACCCTTGTGAATTCTGATTGAGGTAATATTTCAGTAGTTTCCTATTTTGTCATGTAAGCATTATAAAAAAACCCTCAGTTTGCCGGTTCCAAATGAAATTGCCAGAAGCAGCAGCATGTTCTGCTTGCTATAGCATAACAAGTATTCCCTCTTTCCCAAATCATAGATCACTTTAGTTTTTCTAAGTATATGATTTTTTACTATACACTTAGATATACATCATGACTAATAAGCTATGTTTATTTAGATACATGACAAAAACTATATATGAAAAAAAACTAAAACAACCTATAATTTGAAATAAAGGGAGAAAAAATGACGAGGACGTTCTTTCATCGATGGAATGAAGCAAACAACCTGAAGGATAAAGGGCCGCTGAGGATCCATTGTCAAATAACTTATCAACACTGTGTCCCTGTCAAACAGAAATAAAAGAACTAGCAGATGGAGACGTACCTTTTGTTTTTGACCCTGTTTAGTCCTATTTGTCATGGCAAAAGATTAGCCCCTAAACTTTTGCTGCTAAACTTTAATCTTGCTTGAGGTGTTTAGATCTATGGCAAAACTTTAGGCTAAAAGTGTAAAATGAGGTGTCCTTCACACCCCCTAATGGCAAAAGTTTAGGCTAAAAGTGCAAAATGAGGTGTCCTTCACACCCTCTAATGCTTTTAGCCCAGTTTTGCACCTCTTAAGGTGCAAATGGCAAAACTTTAGCCCTTTTGTTTTGTTGCACCTGTTTAAATCCATTTGCCTAAAACATAGGCTAAAAGTGCTGGGCAAAAGTTTTATCAAAGAAAATAAACAGGGCCTTTATTCTCGCTTTTGGAAAATGGAAGTTTGCAGAAAAGGTACTTTTTCTTTCTGTTTGACAGAAAAAAGCAATTGCGGACCTGTCAAAAGAAGAAAGAAAAGCCTGGAGCCAGAGCATGATTAGAAGAGAACATAACTTTCGGTATTAGGTATCATAACTTTGGCGTGCATGCTAATGTCATCTGTTAAGATATACAGTGTACTTTGCTTATGAAATACTACACTGTAAATGTCTCAGAGAAAATACAAGATTACCAAATTTACTGTAATTATTAGCCCAGACTATTTAGGCTCTTATTAGCTCAGAATTAGCTCATATTTAGGCTTTCTAATTGGTATCCAAACACCCCCTTATACTAGCCCCACTGTGAAAACTTGAAAACTCTGTCAAAAAGTAAAAAAATACTACTAAGTAGTACTTACTAGCGAACTAACCCATGGGAACCACAAAAAATATGTTGCGGCTTAGGGATCGAAGGCTGTAGGAGTGGAAGGTGCGAGGCCTGGGCTTGAAGCCTCGACGATGAACTGGCGGCGCCGTGCTCGGCGCCTGGCTAAAGACTTGCGGCAAGAGGTGGATCGTGAACAGTAACGCCCAGGAACCAAGGTGAGATAAACTCAACCCTAGGCTAACCCTTTATTGATCCATAGAGTTTGATACATATAGGACTCAACCTAACCAACTATCCCTATCTTTTAGGACTCTTTAATCTCAACTAACCAAACCCTAATGACTATGAATCCGAACTAACCCAACCCTGTGCGCCCCCTGGTGATCCCCCCAGCTCGGCACACGATTGAGTCTAGCCACTACGGCGTCTATAGACTTTGCCGCACATAACATCACTCCCCCCCTCGGCAAACAGCTTGTCCTCAAGCTGAAAGGTGGGGAATTCGGCGCGGAAATCCTCGAGCAGTTCCCATGATGCCTCAGCTTGCGTAAGACCTGCCCACTTGATGAGCACATGACAGACCCCGCGACGCAGCTGTGCACGCAAGACCTGGTCTGGTTGGAGCAGGCGACGTCCCTGGTGAAGCGTAGGCAGTGCCAGCGTTGTAGATGGAGGAGAACCGCGGAATGGCTTCAACACCCCGACATGGAAGACGTCGTGAATCCTGGCTCCAGCCGGCAGCAACAAGCGGTAGGCCACCTCGCCGATGCGTTCGACGATCTGGTACGGCCCGGCAAACCGCGGACTGAGCTTGCCGCGACGCCCCGGCAGCAGAGTCTGTGTAGGACGATGCAGGATGCAGAGCCAAACCCAGTCACCCACCTGAAACTCCAAAGCACGATGAGTGCGGTCATATTGGCGCTTGGCATACACCTGAGCCTGGAGTAGCCTGGCACGCACATCAGCGAGGAAGTCATCGCGGTTCTGCAGGAGGGCATCAACAGCATCTGTGCGAGAGGAACCAGCAGTATACGGCAGCAAGACTGGTGGTGGTCGACCGTAAACAACTTGGAACGGCGATGTGCGAAGGGCCGAATGATAAGACGTGTTGTAGCAATACTCCGCCCAAGGAAGCCACTCAAGCCATGCGCGCGGGCGATCACCTGTGATGCACCGGAGATACATAGCTATCGTCTTGTTGACCGCCTCCGACTGACCGTCCGTCTGCGGATGGAATGCTGTACTGAGTCGTAGTGTGACACCAGCAAGCTTGAAGAGATCACGCCAAATGTGCCCTGTGAATACCGGGTCCCGATCACTGACAATTGAATTGGGGAACCCATGGAGATGAACGATGCCGTCAAAGAACGCCTTGGCCACTGACATAGCTGTATACGGGTGGCTGAGGGGTATAAAATGAGCATGTTTCGAAAATCTATCGACCACAGTCAATATGACACTCTTTCCATGGACCCGCGGAAGCCCTTCAATGAAGTCAAGAGCTATGTCTGCCCACACCTGCGAAGGTACCTCCAAGGGCTGCAAGAGACCGGCTGGCCGGAGGGAGTCCACCTTGTTCTGCTGACACACGGCGCAAGAGCGGACAAAGTCACGGACCAGCCCGCTGTCATGGTCGATGAAGAATTCGGAGCGAAGACGCTGCAAAGTCTTTTGGAACCCTTCATGGCCTGCTGAATGAGCAAGGTCCAGTACCATGGGCACAAGCGGCGACCCCTCTAGGATGAACACCCTGTTGCCGTAAAGTATCAGTCCATCCACCATGCACCAGGGCGTGCCACGCTGGGCGACACCCGTGTCTCGGAGGGCGCGCATATCCAGGTTTTCCTGCACCTCCCGTCGTAGCTCAGCAAACAACTCAAATGACGGACCAGAGATAGCATGAGCAGCAGTGTCGTCATCGTGACGGTGGGAAAGAGCATCTGCCACGATGTTGAATGTACCTGGCCGAAACTCCACTGTGAAGTCATAGCCGAAGAGCTTGGTTACCCAATGATGTTGCGGTGGCGTCGACAAGCGCTGGTCTAGTAAAAACTTTAGTGCGTAGTGGTCGGTACGTACCACAAAACTGCGCCCCCACAAGTATGGTCTCCAATGTCTCACAGCCTGCACGAGACCGATCAGTTCACGCTCATAAGCCGCCAATTTCATATGTCGCTGCGCAAAGGGCCTACTGAAAAATGCAATTGCACCGGTGCCCTGATGAAGAACAGCGCCGAATTCCATCCCCGACGCATCACAGTCCACCGTAAAGGGGCGGTCAAATGCCAGCAGCTGCAGCACCGGCGCTATAGACAGTGCTCGTTTGAGGGAATCAAATGCCAGCATAGCCTCATCCGACCAGGAGAACGCGTCGCGCCGAAGCAGCCTGGTTAGGGGTGCCGCGATGGCGCCGTAATCCTTGATAAACCTACGGTAGTAGCCGGCCAAACCGAGAAATCCGCGTAGGCCACGCGCCGATCGTGGTTGCGGCCATGTTACTATGGCCTCCACCTTGGTGATGTCCATGGCCACACCGTTAGCTGAGATCACATGCCCGAGATATGTCACCGAGGACTCGACGAATGATCATTTGCTGCGCTTGAGCCGCAGCTGGTGCTCACGAAGCGCTAATAGGACTGCCTTTACGTGCTGGAGATGTGCTGTCCACGAGGGGTTGTAGATCAAGATGTCATCGAAGAAAACCAAGACAAACTTACGCAGAAACGGCTGTAGGACGGCATTCATTAGGCTCTGAAATGTTGCCGGCGCATTGGTGAGGTCGAATGGCATGACCAGAAACTCGAAGTGTCCATGGTGTGTTCTGAACGCCGTCTTCTCGATGTCCTCTTGATGCATCCGGACCTGGTGGTAACCGGAACGAAGATCCAACTTTGTAAAGAACCGTGCGCCGCCAAGTTCGTCGAGCAGCTCCTCCACAACTGGGATGGGGAACTTGTCCTTAACCGTGCGCGCGTTCAGAGCCCGGTAGTCAACACAGAAGCGCCAGGAGGCATCCGGCTTCTTGACCAACAACACCGGAGCCGAGAACGCCGAAGTTGACGGCCGGATAATCCCCTGCTGTAGCATGGCAGCACACTGGGTCTCCAGCTCGTCCTTCTGAAGTTGCGGGTATCTGTACGGCCGGACTGCTACAGGTGCTGTGTTTGGCAATAAGTGGATGTGGTGATCACAACGTCGAGCCGGCGGCAGTCCTTTTGGCTCCACAAAGATGTCGTCGAACTCCTGCAGGAGGGTCTGTAACAGGGCCGGCCCGTCTGGTTGTACAGCATGGAGGCGTGT